GAAGAGTTACTATTTCTCCACAGCCTCGCCAGCATTTGTTATTGGTTGATTTCTTAATGCTAGCCATTCTTACTGGGATAAGGTGGAATCTCAGTGTTGCTTTAATTTGCATTTCTTGAATGACAAATGATGTTGAATATTTTCTCATGTATTTATTTGCCATTTGTATCTCCTTGTCTGAGAAGTGTGTATTCATCTCAGCTGCCCATTTTTGGAATGGGTCTTTGAATTTGGGAAGGCTAATATTTTTTAATTCTTTATATATTCTATTTCACTTGCAGGTTGGCTTTTGTTCATGATCTTGCTGCCTATCTGTATGTCTTCAAAGTTTTTACCTACTTTCTGTTCCAATAGACTAATGTTTCTGTTTTAATATTGAGATCTGTCAACCATTTTGACTTGAGTTTGGTGCATGATGATAGACTTGGCTCTATTTCCAGTCTTTGGCAGGAGGAAAGCCAATTTTTCCAGCACCATTTATTGAAGAGACTATCATTCTTCCAGTGAGTTTGTTTGGCCCCTTTCTCAAAGATTAGGTGGCTGAGTGTGTTTTTGGTTGTGGCTGTTTCTTCCACTATGTTCCACTGATCCTCAGGTCTGTATTTTAGCCAGTACTAGGTTGATTTTATTAGAGTAGATTTGTAGTATAATTTGAGGTCAGGGGATTGTGATTCCACCTGACTTGTCCTTGTTGCCGAGGATTGCTTTTGCTATTCTGGGTGTCTTCTGGTTCCGGATGAATTTAAGGCATGTTTTCTCTAGATCTGTGAGGAATGCGATTTTGGGGTGTTGACTTTGTATCCAGGTACACTGCTGAATTTTTTGATTAATTCAAGGAGTATTCTTGTGGAGTTTTTTAGGGTCTTTCATGTGAAGTACCATGTCATCTGCAAATAGTGATAGTTTTACTTCTTCCTTTCCTATCCTTATTCCTTTTATTTCTCTCTTCTGTCTTATTGCTTTGGTGAGTGCTTCCAGAACTATACTGAACAGGAGTGGTGACAGCAGACACCCTTGTCTTGTTCCCTATTTTAAAATAAAACCTTTCAGTTTTTCTCTATTTAGAATGATGTTGGCTGTTGGATT